CGATACGCTGCTGAGCAACTCAACCTCTGGCCCCGTGTCTCCCACCCAGAGACCTCTCCCACTCTGCGGTGGACGGGCGAGGTTGGTGATGCGTCGCCGTTTCGGGTCTGGGGTGCCCTCTTGCTTGTTCGCGACCCCCCCGCGGAGAAGCTCTCTCCCCGCACTCTTTGCTGCGTCTTCCTTGGCTTCCCTACCGACGCCCCGGGCTGGCAGTTTTACCACCCGGGTTCCCGTCGTGTTCTCTCCTCCCAGGACGTCACCTTTGACGAGCCTGTCTGCTTCTACCGTCTCCACCCCCACCGCAGTTCCCCCGTGCCCCTCCCGCCTCTCGCACTGGTCTCGGACCCCCCCCGGTAGCCCCACTCCTTCCACAGGGTCCTGCTCCCTCAGGTGTGTCTCAGGTTGACCCATCCCCCTTGGTTGAGCCAGTCGAGGTCTCCTCCGACACCTCTGGCCCAGCTGAGGGGGGTGACCCGACTCCTGCTGCCACGCTGACCCCTCGCCGTTCTGCGTGCTTGGCGGTCCCTCCTGGGTTTCCGCCTCGACCGTCTTCACCACCGTTGCAGCCTATCGCCGTGGACTCTGGTGCTGCAGGAGGTGGTACCACTGGGGGTGCTGGTTCTGGGGGTGCTGAGTGTCCTCTGGGTACAGGAGGTACTGGAGGTGCTGGTGCTGGTGGTCCTGGTACGAGTCGGCTGGAGGCTCTCTCGCCGGAGCGGCTTCGCGAGTGGGTTGTCCAGTGGGGCAGCCGTGGTGGTGGAGCTAGCCGTCTTCGAGCGGGAGGTGCTGGGATTGTTGGAGCTGGAGGTGCTGGGACTGCTGGAGCTGGAGGTTCTGCTACTGGTGGTACTGGGGTTGCTAGTGCTGGTGGCACTGGTGCACGTCGGCAGGAGACTCTCTCGCCGGAGCGGCTTCGCGAGTGCGCTGTACAGTGGGGCAGCCCTGGTGGTGGAGCTAGCCGTGCACGTACTCCTGGCGCTGGACGTGCTGGAGCTGCAGGTTCTGGAGGTGCTGGCCCTGGAGGTGCTAGTGCTGGTGTTCCTGGAGTTGGCTGTGCTGGAGGTACTGGTACTGGAGGCACAGGTGCTGCTGGAGGTACTGGAGGCGCAGGTGCTGCTGGAGGTACTGGAGGTGCTGGCCCTGGAGGTGCTAGTGCTGGTGTTCCTGGAGTTAGCCTTGCTGGAGGTACTGGTACTGGAGGCACAGGTGCTGCTGGGGGTACTGGCGGTGCTGACACTTGAGGTACTACTGGAGGTACTGGAGTTAGTGGTGCTAGTCGGCAGGAGTCGCTCTCGCCGCTGCAGCTTCGCGAGTGGGCTGTCCGTTGGGGCAGTCCCGGTGGTGGAGCTGGTGGTACAGGTTCTGGGGGTGCTGTTGCTACTGAAGCTGGAGATTCTGGGGGTGCGACTACTCAGCAGCAGCCGTCTGCGCTTCGTCACCTTCTCAGTCTCCCGCCTACTGCTACTGAGTTCCCGGTTGCTGGTACTACTCCTCCGTTGCTGTTCCCACCGACTGACCAGTCTCAGCCACAGCTACTGCCTGGCTCCCCACTGCCTGCTCCTGATCCTCACACGGAGGTGACTGAGTTTTGCTCTGAGCATCGTGAGCCTGAGACTCGTCCTTGCACACCTGTTTGCGGTCGTCGTGTTGTCCGTCCTCGTGCTCCAGTTGTGCCAGGCACTCACCGTATGGCACTTCGTCCTTCCTCTGTTCCAGAGCGTGTTGTCCTGCCTGAGCCTCCTGCGTCTTCTCTTCCTCACGTTCTTGACCCTGAGTCTGACCTTGTCCGTGCTGCCAGTCCGACTGTCACTCGTCTCCTTGCCACTGTTGTGACTGACCCTTCCTTTGAGTCTGCTGCTGCGTCTGCCTTAGTTGCTGAGCTTGTTGACTTCGCTGCTTTGTGTCGCCTTGACTATCCTGCGAGTCTTGTTTTTGAATCTTCCTGTCCTCCATCCGTCGGGGGTGAGCTTGCCCTTGACTGTGACGTTCTTGAGGACAGGCAGTTTGAGCTGGAGTGCCTAGCGGCCGCTGCACCTCATCTCGCGTCCACGCTACTTTGCCCTGAGGGAGACCCGCATGCACTGGACATCCCGACCCCGCGCACTTACGCAGAAGCGATCACGGGTCCGTACTCCTCTCAGTGGCAGATAGCCATGGACGCAGAGATGGCTTCCTGGAAGTCCACAGGCACCTACGTCGATGAGGTTCCCCCACCTGGGGCGAACATAGTCGATGGCATGTGGATTTTCAGGGTGAAGCGGCCGCCGTATTCTCCGGCTGTCTTCAAGGCGCGTTACGTTGCACGAGGCTTCAGTCAGCGTGAGGGGGTCGACTTATTCCAGACCTTCTCCCCCACCCCGAAGATGACCACTCTTCGGGTGCTACTGTACGTTGCAGCACAGCGTGACTACGAGCTGCACTCCCTCGACTTCTCGAGAGCCTTCCTGCAGGACAGCCTTCACAAGGCTATCTGGTTGCGCCGTCCACGTGGCTTCACTGGGTCGTTTCGTGAGGGTACCCAGTGGAGTCTTCGGCGACCAGTCTACGTTCTGCGTCAGGCGCCCCGTGAGTGGCACGACACACTGAGGACTACACTTTCGGCTCTTGGCTTCGCTCCCTCCGCTGCTGACCCTTCGTTGTTTCTGCGCACAGACACTTCTCTGCTGCCGTTCTACGTTCTCGTGTATGTTGACGACTTGGTTTTTGCTACTGCTGACACTGAGGCTCTGGCCTTAATGAAGGCGGAGCTGCAAGAGAGACACACCTGCACTGACCTGGGTGAGCTGCGGAGCTATCTTGGCTTGCAGATCACCCGGGACAGAGCACGCCGCACCATCACCCTCACTCAGTCACACATGGTGCAGCAGGTCCTTCAGCGCTTCGACTTCACGTGGTCCTCGCCACAGCCCACTCCTCTGTCTACCCGCCACCCACTCTCAGCTCCACCTTCGGACGAGTTTGTAGAGCCGAGTGGTCTGTACCGAGAGCTTGTGGGTTGCCTCATGTATCTGATGACTTGCACACGACCTGACCTCGCGTACCCTCTCAGCCTCCTGGCTCGCTACGTGGCTCCCGGTAGACACCAAAAGGTGCACTGGGAAGTTGCGAAGAGGGTGATGCGTTACTTGTGCAGTACATCAGGCATGGGGCTCGTGCTTGGAGGACAGGGTTCAGTTGTTCTCACCGGTCACTCAGACGCTTCTTGGGCTGACGACAAGATGACTCACCGGTCGACACAGAGGTACAGTTTCAGCCTCGGCACTGGTTCTGTCTCGTGGAGGTCCACTCGCTCTTCTTCTGTACTTAGTTCCAGCTGTGAGGCCGAGATCTACGCTGGGGCTATGGCTGCACAGGAGCTCCGCTGGCTGACCTACTTGCTGACCAACTTGGGTGAGCGGCCTCGTTCTCCTCCAGTTTTGTACGTCGACAACAAGGCCATGATTGCCTTGTGTCAGGACCAGAGACTGGAGCACAGAACGAAGCACATTGCTCTCCGTTACTTCCTCACGCGAGAGCTGCAGCAGCGTGGTCAGCTTCGTCTTGCTTACGTGGCCACACAGGCCAACACTGCTGATGTCTTCACCAAGGCCCTTGGGTCTAGTGATCATCAACTTTTCTGCACTGCTCTTGGGCTTGTGCCCACCCTGCCTCACCTGCTTGTTTCTTGATCTTGTCTTGTACTTTGATATATAGACCTGCATGTTTCTGGTTGCTAGGTTGTAATCATTGTACTGCTTGTGTTATTATCAAACTACATGTGAACTGGCCTTGTGGCCGCTTGCTTGTGCTCGGAGTGTGTGGTGTCCTTGAGATCCACCCTGAGCTGTGTTCTTTGTTTCTTCTCTTGACTGGTCTTGTGACCGCTTGTTATGCTTGCTATCCCCCACTTCGCCTATGGGGGTGTGTCAAACAACATTGTGACGTTAGGCTGTAGTGGGTCATGTTCTATGGGGTACAACCCAATTAGAGTTAGGTACTTGTACTCAACTTCTGCCTAATGCATTCATTCCTGCCAGTTACATTTCAACAATGGGGGTGGCGGGTCTGACCAGGCAGCCGCCCCTCCATCTCTTACCTTCCAGCCTCACATTTCATCTTCTTTTCTTCTCTCCTCCAACCGTCTCCTTTCATTTCCTCCTCTCTCTCCTCTCCTCCGGTCGCCTTTCCTCCTCCTTTCCTCCTCCTCTCAACCACCTCCTGTGCACCACCAGCTTCCTCCTCCTATCCAACAGTTGGTGTTTATCACCAACAGCCTACGCCCTCCGGTTTAGCCCTCCAACAGTTGGTGTTTATCACCAACAGCCTACGCCCTCCGGTTTAGCCCTCACCCCTCCGTTCTGGCGTTTACAGGTGCTGCCGGTCAGCCACCGCTGTTTATGTGCATATCCCATCTACAGCAACCGCTCTCCAGGCGACCTGCAGCCAGACACCACTAGCTATAGCCGTAGGCAGTTACGGGGGTGTGTTAAATTCATATTGCATATCCTAATTGCCTACAGCTTGCTGCTAATGTATAAGTTAGATATTAGAACCTATTGCTGATGGTGTACCCTTTTGTCTTGCCTAGCCTCTTGCCTTTCCTCTATCTTGTACCCTTACCTAATATTGTGCACGTCATCAGGTACATGAGGCAACCCACAAGCTCTGCGTAATGACCACTAGGCTCAATAGGCTCGTCGGGAACAGGAGCAGTGCGTTTGTGGTGAATAGCAAGAGGAGTGGCCAGTGTCGAAATATATTTATATATATTTATTATATCTGCCTGTAGTGTAACTGCAGTGTAGTTCTTTTGTAGGTGGTGCACGTCTTTCGTTGTTTCTTTGCTATATGTACCTCCCGTTCTATAATGAAGTCACACATTCTCGACTTCTCCTTGGTGACATCCTTGGCCTAGGCTCCTAAGCCTAGTCCCTACCTAAACCCTTAAGCTACTATCTTGACATGGTATTGAGCTTGTAAGTTCCTAGTGCCTGAAATATTCTCATGGGCCCACCACGCTCCTAGGCTTTGCAACGGCCCGCCTCATGCTGGCCCGCCCCGCTCACCAGCGCGCTAGCAAGCTCGCCGGCAAGATCGCCAGCGGATCCGCCAAAAAGCACGCCAGCGAGCCCGCCAACCGACCCGCCAACGGAACCGTCCGCGAGCCCGCCAACGGACCCGTCAACGGAACTGCCTGTCAACGGGGGGGGGGGGGGGGGGGGGGGGGGGGGTAGTGGAATGGAGGTGGCGGTGGCGGGGTGGCGATTCATGGGGGGGGGGGGGGGGGGGGGGGTGTGGAGTGTGCGGGGGTGGCAGGAGTGTCAATGCAGCACCTACCGCCACTGCACCTCCTCCTCTCTCTCCTCTCTGCCGCGATTGCTGCTGTGGGGGGGGAGGCTATGGGGGGGTATGAGGGGGTGGCAGGCGTATCCCTGCAGCACCTACCGCCACTGCACCTCCTCCTCTCTCTTTCTCTCTGCCGCTGCTGGAGCTGTGGGGGGAGGTTCAGGGGGTGTGGGTGGTGTGGGTCCAGCTGCAGCATCAGCCGCCTCCTCCACTCATCCCCTGCCTTGTCCCCGTGCCTCCCGTGCTGCCCATGTCCTTCCGTGCCTCCCTTGCTGCCCGTGTCCTCCCGTGCCTCCCGTGCTGCCCGCACTGTGCTGCCTCCCATCCTGCCCGTGTCCTCCCGTGCCTCCCGTGCTGCCCGTGTCCTCCCGTGCCTCACGTGATGCCCGTGTCCTCCCGTGCCTCCCATGCTGCCCGTACCGTGCTGCCTCCCGTGCTGCCCGTGTCCTCCCGTGCCTCCCGTGCTGCCCTCCCGTGCCTCCCGTGCTACCCGTGTCTCACATGCCTCCCGTGCCGCCCGTGTCAAAAATGTAATATATTCTATAACTTCTTGTAGTTAGTTGTAGGGTGATTATATTGTTTCTTGTTTGGTGGTGTACCGTTGTGTTTGCTATATGTACCTCGTGTTCTATAGTAAAGTAACGAATTCTCAACTTTCTCCTTGGTGACAACTCTCTCGACATCCCTGTCCTATGCTCCTTAGCCTAGGCCCTACCAAAACCATAGTTCATACTTACGTTCGTATCTTGACATGGTATTGAGCTAGTACTTTCCTAGCATGTCAATTTTATGGGCCCACCAACCCGTAACTCTCGCACCGTCCGCCCGAAGCTCGTCACGTTCTGCCCATGGGGAGCACGCCCGCAAACCCGCCGACGGACCCGCCAACGAGCGCGTCAGCAAGCCCGCCGACGAGCTCGCCAACAAACCCGCCGACGGACCCGCCAGCGAGCGCGCTAGCGAGCCTGCCGACGAATTCGCCGACGGACCCGCCAGGGAGCGCGCCAGCGAGCCCGCTGACGAACCCGCCATCGAGCACCCCGTCTAAACCTGCACTACGCGACCATCCCGTCCCGTCCCGCCTCGTCCCTGCCCCACCCCGTCCCTCCCTCGTGCCCCCCCTCTACCGCACCTACCTCTGCTGTGCTGGGCGGTGGTGGGTGTGGTGAATAGAGGGGGGTGGCAGCGAGAATGGAGGTGGCGGCCAGTGGTGGGGTGGGGGGGGGGGGGTGGACGTATCCCTGCAGCACCTCCTGCCACTGCACCTCCTTTGCTCTCTCTCTGCTGCTGCTGCTGCTGCTGGGGGGAGGTTTAGGGGGGGTGGGTGGTGTGATCCGGGTGCAGCAACTTCCGCCTCTCTCTCACTCTCGCATCTGCTGCTGTGGGGGAGGATGAAGGGGTGTGGGAGTGGAACTGCAGCACCATCCGCCGCCACTGCACCTCCTCCTCTCAGCCGCGACTGCTGCTGTTCAGTGGGAGGCTTTGGGGGGTGTGAGGGGGTGGCAGGCGTATACTGCAGCGCCATCCGCCGCCACACCTCCTCCTCTCTCTCTCTCTCTGCCGCTGCTGCTGGTGTGGGGGGGGGGGTTCAGTGAGTGTGGATGGTGTGAGTCCAGCTGCAGCATCAGCTGCCTCAGCCTCCTCTCATCGCCGGCCGTGTGCCTCCCGCGTCTCCCGTTCCGTTCATGCTCATTCCTCCTCGTTCGCACCCCACACCCTGTACGCACCCCGGCTCTGCCCATACTCGACCCGTGTTGCCGCCCGTGTTCTTCCCATGCCCGTGCTTGCTGCCCGTGTCTCCCGTGCCACCCGTTCCCATGCTGCCCATGCTGCCCGTTCCCGTGTCTCCCGTGCCGCCCGCTCCCGTGCTTCCCGTGATGCCCGTGCTGTCCGTTTCCTACCCGTGCCTCTCGTGCTGCCCGTGTCCTACCCGTGCTTCCCGTGCCGCCCGTTCTCGTGCTTCCCGTGATGCCCGTGTCCTACCCGTGCCTCCCGTGCTGCCCGTTCCCGTGTCTCCCGTGCCACCTGTTCCCGTGCTTCCCGTGCTGCCCGTTCCCGTGCTACCCATGCTGCTTGTTCCGATGTCTCCTGTGCCGCCCGTTCTCGTGCTTCCCGTGCTGCCCGTGTTCTCCGTGTCCTACCTGTGCCTCCTGTGCTGCCCGTGTCATACCCGTGCTTCCCGTGCCGCCCGTTCTACTGCTTCCCATGATGCCCGTGTCCTACACGCGCCTCCCGTGCTGCCAGTTCTCGTGTCTCCCGTGCCGCCAATTGCATGCTCCATACCTCTGTGACATGCTGCTAGCCCCTGAGGGAGACCCTGATGCTCCAAACATCCCGACTCCTCGTACTTACACTGAGGCAGTGTCAGGACAGTGGTCCTCTCAATGGATAGCAGCCATGGACTTACAGATGGCGTCTTGGAGATCCACATGTACGTACGTCGATGCAGTTCCCCCTTCGCGGGCGAACGTAGTCGATGGCATGTGGATCTTCAAGGTGAAGCGGCCGCCTGTATCGCCGCCTGTCTTCAAGGCGAGCTATGTGGCTAGAGGCTTCAGTCAGCGTGAGGGAGTAGACTTCTTCCAGACGTTCTCCCCCACTTCGAAGACAACAACTCTTTGGGTGCTACTACACGTCGCAGCACAGTGAGACTACGAGCTGCACGAACTATACTTCTCCACTGCCTTTCTCCAGAGCAGCCTGCACGAGGAGACCTGGTTGTGTCGTCCTCCTGGCTTCACTGGCACTTTCCCTCCTAGGGCACAGTAGAGCCTGAGAAAACCAGTCTACAGTCTCCGCCAGGCGCCTCGTGAGTGACACGACACTCTCCGCTCCACTCTTGCTGACCTCCGACTCCGTCCTTCGTGTTGGTGCAACCCTACGGTTTGCACTCGGCTTGTTGTCCGTGTCCGTGTGTATGGAATGGTATGAGAGCATGGGATAATATATATTTCATGCTTATAATTGTGTGTGAATGTTGAGTCATGATGTCGAGTGTGTGTGTCGAGTCAATAGCGAGTTATCACGCGACGCGTGTTACGCAGTCGTTTGTGTCTCGCGCGCGGTTTCTATTTTGTCGTGCGCGGTTTCTATTTTGTCCTGTGTCGAACGTTCGGCGTGTCGCAGGTGTGTGCAGCAGACCCATCAAGAACTCAAGGATGAGTTTGTGATGAAGAGCCCGAGCCTTGGTGTCAAGCCTCAAGTGATTTCGAAGCTCGCCAAAAGGGTACACCTCAAGATATTGAAGATAGTTACATTACTTTGTGTAGTGTAACATTTCACTTGGTGTAGGCCCTAGTGAAGGGTAGTTTCAAGACCCTTCGTGGTTGGGGACAGTGTGGCACTGTTCCACATCACTGTACCTCGGCTCTTGGGGTTTGTAGGAGCTGGGAGTCATTCCCAACTCGTAACTCTTCCTAACTCTTACTATCTTGTGTTCAAGGCTATAGTGGCTGCCATAGTGCCGTTCGTTCAAACTGACGTTGTGTCGTCAACACTTGGTGAAATCGTGCGATCTAAATTGCCTATTGTGGGCGACAATTAGACGCTCCAGATCCAAGTTGAATCAAGTCATTTGAAGCTGTGACCAGAACGCTATGAACGTTTGAAGCCGCTGTGCAGAAATCCGGCTGTGCACTCTATCTTTCGTTTTAGGCACATTGGAGCCTACTGTGACTATAACAAGTGGTATCAGAGCCCCTTGGAGCAGTTTCGACAATGGCTGGACCTGAGGAAAGGGGTGGCAGAAGTGCTGGTGGCAATGGAGATGCCCAAGCACAAGGCCAAGCCCGTGAGTCAGCCGTGGCGCCCGTGCAACCGACTCTTGGACCTTCTAGGGACGAACCAATAGTGTTCGGGCTTGACAAGTTCAACGGCGACAACTTTGCTGAATGGTCCTTCAGAATGGAGAATGTGTTCGACCACTATGACCTGCTGGAGGTGATGGAAGGAACGGAGAAGCGTCCCGAGAACGACCCGGAGAAGAGCCCGTGGGTGCGGAAGAGCGCACAAGGCTACCTCCTACTTGGGCAAGCGTTGGGGAGCAGCCAGATCCGTCACATCAAGCCATTCCAGCGTGAACCAGAGAAGGGACCAAAGGCATGGGCTGCTCTCAAGGATGTACGCGCTCCTGCAACAGCGGCGGTAGCTGTGGTGTTGGAACGGCAAATGGCGACGCTACGAATTGAGGAAGATGAACCCGTGGAAGACGGGGTGCAGAAATTCTTCGACTTGTTGACGTGGCTTGAGGGAGCTGATTTGAACTACAGTGAGCTCCAGAAGAAGACCAAGTTGCTGGCCCTACTCCCCGAGTCATGGTCCTCGCTCATCATCAACTTGAACCGTGACCTGCCCCGTCTCTCGCTTGAAGACGTGAAACGCGCAATCCTACAAGAGGACTTCCGCCGCCGTGAGTTGGGGAGTGCGGATGGCGCTGGGGCAGCAAGCGTCGGCCGTGGATATGGCCGAGGAAGAGGCAGAGGACGAGGGGGAGGAAGGTTTGGTGGCAGCAACTTCAGTGGAGGCCGCGGGAGTGGCGGTTACGGCAGCGACGACAAGAGCTACGGGCGCGGTCGCGGCCGATTCGATGGCGAGTGCCATTATTGTCATAAGACCGGACACATGTGGCACGATTGCAACAAGCTCCCTGATGGTTGGACCCCTGCTCAAGACCAAGAGGGTAGAGGAGCAGGTGGAGGGAGAGGAAGAGGCCGTGGAGGCCGTGGAGGCCGTGGCGGCCGCGGTGGCGGAGCTGCAAACATGAAGAGTGGAGACAACGACAAGGACCCGAGCGACGATCGGTACCCGGGTCTATTCTACTTCGTGTCGACGCAAGTACCAGCTGGTCCAGAGAAGGGTGAAGGCTTTGAGGAGCCAGCAGCTGTGGGGAAGGTGACCCTACACCCCCTGGACTATTGGGTGATCGATAGTGGCGCTACCTATAGCATGACACCTCGCCCGGACTTGCTCACCGAACTCGAGCCGTCACCGGTGAAGCATGTCAGATCGGCTTTGGGGCAGCGAGCAGAGGTGAAAGGCATGGGCAAGGCCATGTTCAAGGGTGCTGATGGGAAGATGGTGGGCCTCAAGAACGTGCTTTGGGTGCCCAGCCTTGCTGCGAACCTGATTTCCGTGCGGCGATTGGCAAAGGCCGGCATGGACACGAACTCGAAGGGAGCCAAGACCTACACCGCAAGGCTTGGCGAGCGGATTCTATGGGACCTTCATGCGGATAGGGACGTCTACAATGAGATGTGGCAGATCCCTGTGGTCCCCATGCCTAAGGAGAGGCAAGTGGCAGCAAGTGTCAGCACCAAGGGTGAAGCGGTTGGTAGCGGCGATGGTGCGAACGGTCGCGCTAAGGAGAACGAGTCCAAGAAGAGCAATCTTGGAGGGACCAGCAAGCTCGGTGAACCTAAGGAGAGAGGTGCAGCAGCCAAGGAGTAGCACAAAGGTGAGGAGAACCCCGAGGCAGCAGCGGAGGAGGAGTACGGAGAGAGCATGTGGGGCGCTATTGCGAGTGCGGCATTCTCCAATCCGACTTCGGCTACGGGGGAGTGTGATTGGCTTACCTTGCATCGGCGAATGGGGCATGTGGCCCTGCCTATCTTGCAGCAGCTAGTGAAGAATGAGATGGTTGCTGGCATACGTGTGAAGGGGGAGCCTGATGAGGTGCTTGGCTGTCCGACGTGCATTCAAGCCAAGTTCACCCGGTTTCCGTTCCCTAGTTCGGAGGCAACGGCAAAGGCACCACTTGATGAGGTGGTGATGGACGTGGTGGGCCCCCTGAAGCTTGGAGCTGCTGGAGCTGAGTATTTTCTCACCATTGTCGACGTCTACACCCGCATGACTTGGGTGTATGTGCTGGCCAAGAAGAGCGACGTGGCTGAAACGTTGAAGACGGATTGGTTCCCGATGGTGGAGCGGCAACAAGACCGTCTAGTCAAGTCAATCCGCACCGATCGAGGGGGAGAGTTCCTGAGCAAGGAGTTTGGGTTGTGGCTGAAGAAGAATGGTATTCGGCACTCCCTCACCATGCCATACTCCCCTGCAATGAACGGCATCGCCGAGCGAGCGAACCGCACAATCACGGAGGCGGCACGCGGGTTGCTCATTGAAGCCGGGCTACCCGACTATTTCTGGCCTGATGCGGTGCGGAGCGCGTGTGTGGCCAAGAACAGAGCCTTGACTCATGTGGGAGCAGATAAATGGGTGCCCTATGTGGAGTGGCTAGGAAGGAAGCCAAAGGTGGATATGCTTCGGGTGTTCGGGTGCATGTGCATGGCGCTCGTGCCTAAGCATCTTCGGCACAACAAGCTTGGTGCCAAGGCGGTGTGGGCCGTGCACTTGGGCATGGCTCAAAACAGCAAGGGATGGCTTCTTTGGGACCCATTCACCAAGAAGTTCTTGGTGAGCAGGGACTGCAAGTTCATGGAGAACTTCATGTACAAGGATTGGAAGGCGGAGAATGAGGCGAAGATAGGCGTGCGGTTTGGGGAGGTGAAGAGTTCCGGTTTGGAGCATGTGGAGCTGCCTTTGGAGCTGAGCAGCGGCAGCACAACCACGAGGCAATCCTCCCTCGTGAATGGGGGAGAGGAGGCCAATGATGCAGAGGAAGAAGAGGAGGAGGTGCAGCAAGTGAGCGAGCGTGCACCGTCACTCCCTTCCCGTACTACGAGTGCTCCACGGATTCGAGCCACACCGCAGCAACGCCAAGGCCTTCAAGTCCCTGCAGCTGAGGAGGAACGAAGGGGGAAGAGGAGAGTTCAACCCCCTAATAGGCTGACCTATGATGCGCCGGGAAAGCAGGGCAAGACAGCCCTGGCCGGAGCGGCAATGATGGTCGGAGACGACGAGGAGAGTGACTACGAGGAGTGTGCCTTCGCGTTCTTCTCTCCGGTGGAGATGCCGGGAGAACCAGCAACTCTCAAGGAGGCTTTGGAGAGTAGTGATGCTGAGGAGTGGAAGAAGGCCATGGAGAGTGAGCTGAAGAGCATCGAGGAGAATGACACGTTTGAATTGGTGGAGCTACCGGAGGGGCGTACGGCGATAACGTCCAAGTGGCTCTTCAAGATCAAGTCCGATGCCGACGGCAAGATCGAGCGTTACAAGTCTAGGCTGGTGGCCAAGGGGTACCAGCAGAAGGAGAAGGTGGACTTCAAGGAGCTGTTTGCCCCTGTGGTGAAGCCGACGACGCTGCGAACCCTATTCGCGGGAGCCGCCATCAAAGGATGGGTAGTAAAACAAATGGACATCGTAACGGCATTCCTTAACGGCATCCTTGAGGAGGAGA